TATTCAAGTTAACACAAAGTTCATGCAATATTATGATTTTTAAAGATTTTGTTAATATTTTTCTTTTGTGAGCCTTAGGGGGGGGGGGGGCTTACTTGATCTCAGGGGTACTTATTTGGTCCTCTTAAATCCGCGCCTGAAACCCATGTATGATTTCCTAAGTGACTCGTTAGCAGTTGGTAGGCCTATACGTTACAACTCTATCGGAATGAAAGGATCTTATATCTATGACGCAACAGTGATGTGATATTACGTCACATCCGATTTAGCTAAGACATAAATGATATCCCATTAACGTTGTACACATATTGAAAGTGTTTAACATCAAGATGTTTCACCTGTCGGCGTCCTTTGATTTAGACGATCAAACATATCTGTTGAAACAGACTAAACACCATAAAGTCGAGTCAAAATAACATCAACATTTCGTTTCATTTTATGGTTGTTTGATGGGCTGACCATTAGAATGAACGGAACGAAAAAAACATTTTAGCTTCCATTTTGATTCGGGTCAACAAACAATACTTTCTTTTTTCTTGAGATGACCATCTATCTACGTTTAAAATTTTAGGATCGTAGATAAAACCAATGTTGAGTTATAAACAGAGAGAGAGAGAGAGAGAGAGAGAGAGAGAGAGAGAGAGAGAGGGGGAGGGTCTGTTCGGGACTAACAGATGGTTCAATTTTATTTCAATAATTCGCTTGCGCGTACGGATCTTTAGCGTTGGGAGGAAACCGGAGGACCCGGAGACAACCCACCAGGTTGGACAGGCGATCCTACTCCTTGTCACGTACAACCGGGGAATCGAGATATTTAATTCGATATCTGGTACGAAATAATGGAATGTAAATAAATGAGTTTAAAAGTTTTGTTAACACAAACATATTGGTCATTTTCTGCAAAATATACGATTTATGTATGGTTCAGTAATTCAAGATAGAAAACTGGACAGCCAGGAATGATTTAACATCAATCATGAAATACAGGAATGATTTAACATCAATCATGAAATACAGGAATGATTTAACATCAACCATGAAATACAGGAATGATTTAACATCAACCATGAAATACAGGAATGATTTAACATCAACCATGAAATACAGAAATGATTTAAAATAACCATGAAATACAGGAATGATTTACATCAACCATGAAATACAGGAATGATTTAACATCAACCATGAAATACAGAAATGAATTAACATAACCATGAAATACAGGAATGATTTAACATCAACCATGAAATACAGAAATGATTTAACATAACCATGAAATACAGGAATGATTTAACATCAACCATGAAATACAGAAATGATTTAACATAACCATGAAATACAGGAATGATTTAACACCAACCATGAAATACAGGAATGATTTAACATTAAATGGGGGGGGGGGTAACGTCCACTCGACACAAACTAGGTCATTTCGGGACTAACATATAGTTTAATTTTATTTCAATAATTCACTTGCGCGTAGGGGTCTTTAGCAGTGGCAGGAAACCGAAGGACCCTGAGAAAACCCGTGAGGCTGGTTAGACGAATAGTAATTAGTAAAATCGAAAAGAAAATTTAACCAAATTAATTAACCCAATAACATATCATGTGACATCATATTTTAACTGAAAGAGAAGGAGATTTAGCTACTTTATGAAAATTTTCAAATCTGAGAGGAAATGAAAATAAAATAAAATGGGGTTTAACGTCCTACTGTTCTTCTCCGAACTGGGCTAATGAAGACGGACATGTGCCATGCAGTGTGTTATGAGGGAAATTTTGCTGGGGGCGGCAATACGGCCTATTTTTATATTGAATTCAACTGCCAAGGGATCTTTTACGTGCACGCCAATCCGAACGACTAGACAGCTGTCCTTGTCAGCCCCCCCCCCCCCGTCCTACACCAATCGCAAGAGGGAACCACGTCGGAAAATCTGGATGAACTTTCTCGGCCAATGCAGGGATCGAACACCCGACCTCCAGGCTAGCGAGCCAGCGTTTCACTCACTTATGAAACAGAATGTGTCGGTCGAGGACCAAAGATTGTTTTCAAGAAATATTACACAACTGTCAAACCCCAGTCACTGGTTAAAACACATTTTGGGTTTAAGAACAGAAATATCCGAGGGGAAATATGAAAATCGTTGGACGGAATTCGTCAACTTATTTTTAATTTTCCATTCTCAAGTTTAAAAACCCCGAATTTCCGCTAGCAAATATTTAATGTGATTCTATTACTTTTCGTTATTTTACAACAGATAGAGAGAGAGAGAGAGAAATGAGGTTTAACGTCCACTCGACACAAACTAAGTCATTTCGGGACTAACATATGGTTTAATTTTATTTACATAATTCGCTTGCGCGTAGGGGTCTTTAGCAGTGGGAGGAAACCGGAGGACCCGGAGAAAACCTACGAGGTTGGACAGGCGACCCTACTCCTTGCCACGTACAACCGGGGATTCGAAACCACGCCAGTCGACTCAATGACAGACTTTATGATACAGCGCGCGCACGCTAACCATTCAGCCATCCAACCCCCCACAACAGATAGAGAATGAATAAAATAAAATGAAATGGGTTTAACATTCTACGGTTCTTGTTATTTATTTTTGCTTAAACATACACCAAATATTAAACATACATTATGACCTAGGTGGTTTCGAATCCCCGGTTGTATGTGACTAGGAGTAAGGTCGCTTGTCCAACCGCGTGGGTTTTCTCCGGGTCCGCCGGTTTCCTCCCACTGCTAAAGACCTCTACGCGCAAGCGAATTATTGAAATAAAATTAAACCATATGTTAGTCAAGAAATGACCTAGTTTGTGCCGAGTGACGTTAAACCCCATCTCTCTCTCTCTCTCTCTCTCTCTCTCTCTCTCTCTCTCTCTTATGACCTAGTTTAATGTAGCTAAGTCTCTAACTCAATATCAAAACCTTCGACAATGAAAACACGAATTATTTGTCAATTTTAATCAACATTGGTGTTGTGATCTTATCGGGAAAAGACTGGCTTCTGATATTCAATATTTATGACAATATAACATTTTACGATTGGTACACGAATCGTGTACCATGATGCGTTTCAGCGCAGTTTGTAACAAGCGACTTGGAAGAATGAGGTTAGACATATTCCACAAGTCATGTCAAACGGTGACCCCATATTCTTATCTGGAGAGCATGTGCAATAAATACTATCCGTGTAGACTGGAATAACCAGGCGCTAGAGATTGCCATTCGATTGAGACTTCTGGCGTATTTTGCCGAACAACTGCTTTGAAATTAGAGTAAAAACGGAAACGACTGAATGTAAATCAGTTTATTTACATTCATATTACATTATTGTATACGTTGCGACCCATTTGTGTCAATTTGTAGGTCCCAAATATTAGCGATTTAGCTCCTTTAAACATACATTATGCAAGAGCTAAATCTATCTATTGCACGTCTTTCTTTAGGCCTGAAATTTTATCTCAATTATTACTTAGACATTAATTAACATATCCAGGCCATAATCAACTCTCGATGTCATCGCTAGCCTGCGATACTTACTGGATTAAGATTCAATTTGCAGCTAAACATTTATTCATGATTTAATCATGAAATGGATATTCGAGACTATGTTTTTTATTGTACTGACTTTAGTAATGATGATCGAGGCTAGGCCGGAAATTCATCCGCTAAATTCTCGGTTCAGAGTGGATCAATTTGACTGAAATTTTGAGCAAATTGCCTTTAAATTATCTAGTTTTTAACCATTATAGTGAAAACTGTCAGCTCTTTATCTAATCTCCCATAATATATCTTTAAACATGGGAAGAACATCAATGTGTTTTAAAACTAACAGAATTAATTGAGACAAACAACAAAACCACATACTTATGGAAAACAGCTACTAGTGTATTTAATAACTGGAGAGAGAAACAAGAAAAACACATACGCATGGAAAACAGCTACTAGTGTATTTTAAGGCGACGTTTCGTAGAGTATTCTCTCAACGTTAGCTTGCATCGCAGTTATAGTTCTATTTTGTTTTATTATTTTGGAGCCTAAACTGCCCCCCCCCCCCCCGTCCCCTCGCCCCCCTCCCCTGCCCCGAGGATAAGGATGTTGACATTCGGTGAAGATAATGATGCTAAGGTGACTGTAATGACACGATATTATAAGCCTACTTATTTTTACGTAATATATTATAATTTTCATGCAATTTAGACATGCCATTTTTTATTTTATTTTGTTTTATTATTTTGGAGACGGATTAACATAAGCTTTATGGCTTATTGTATATAGTATATAATTAGAGAGAGAGAAAGAGACAGAGAAAGATGGGGTTTAACGTCCACCCGACTCAAACTAGGACCGGGATAAAACCCACGAGGTTGGACAGGTGAGCCTACTCCTTGTCACATACAACCGGGGGTATATAATTATAGGTTAAATGATTATTGCCTAAACCAAAGATCAGACGCAGTCTCTTAACTAAAGCTAATGATGCAAACAATTGTCACAAGCCACTCAGTAAATTCCACTTATTTACATTAATTAAGGATTTTAAATATATTTTAATTGTATCCACGAACATCAATGTCCAGACATCATCTGGCCCTTATTTTTGTGTTTCAATCCTCTAAATTAAGCTTATTATAAACCTTTATTTTGACAAGTTGTAAGGGCACTGACTTTCAAATATCCTTTCTAACAATTTTAATCTACATTTTATTATAAGAATATCGGGGCGTCGATTCAGCACAACGATTATTTTATCCCCAGAAGAATGGAGTTCTTCGGGTAATTGCTTGGTGATTTAAATAAGAACTTAATATCTTTAATGCTATCTGTCAGAACCCATGCTTCTCACGTCATTTCACACCAATCATCTTGTGTGTGTGTGTGGGGAGGGGGGGGGGGGTATATATTTATTTTCTTGGGGGTTGTGTTTCCGGGGACAGAGAGCACAAGCACGTTGTATGTAAAATATAAAGTAAAAGTAGAAATAGAAACCCACCTGCTATTATTCCGACTTGGTTTTTATCAATCCAGAGAGCGAGTTTACGTGTATTTCGACCTCGTGATTCAATCATCCAAACTAATCCTATAACACACACTAAAACTCGCAAAAACATACTGTATATTTGTATCCACGAACATCAACGTCCAGACATTATCTAACCCTTATCTTTTATGTTTCAATTTTCTAAATTAAGCTTATTATATAACTTAATTTTAACAAGTTGTAAAAGCCCTGACTTTCAAATATCACATCGGAACACCACACCACTGCAGCACAATAATATATATTCCTTAGCCGACGCGAAAATATCAGTAATAAAATACAATAAAAAGTCCGTAGAAAGTTCTTCTCTGTTTAGTTTTTTTAAACTCTATTATGTTTTCCTGATAATAAAAATCTAATGATCTATATTCCGTTGGTTTTCCTTTTTTATTCCATTTCACAAAACTCCTGCATTTTAATATCAATAATCACAATATTCCTGGGACTTAAACAAACAAAATTCTTGGATAAAATGAATCACGTAGAATTCAAGAAACACCATGTATTATCTTCCATGAAAATCCAATAGACGAATTCGTTCTCTAAATGAAATTTAATTATCATTAAGATTTACGTTATTATTTTGTGTTAAAAAATAAACAATAAAATATTTTTATAAATCTATAAAATCGCACAGATATATTCTGTCCATTTAAAATTATATTTGAATAAACTTTTCATTTTGTACATATTTTTAAAACGGTTATCCGCTGCGAAATTCTTGTCAGGCGATAATAAGATACAAATATTGGCCGTATCACTGTTTATCACGGATTCACCTTATACCATTAAATACCATTATAGATCTTTAAAACTCAAATATATCTAATCCATAAATCAGATTAAATACAAACCCAAAATTCTTCATTTTAATTTACTCCGGGTCTGTTTCCATACTTTTCACAATAATGGTGTTACTATTTTTTGTAAGAAAGTTAGAACACGAACGCCAATCGCACATTTTCAAATCGAGCGAAGATTTTTATGATGTTTAAAAACGAAACACTTACATTGCTTCATCACTGCTCCTCGTGTTTATTATTGGGGATGTTCAGCTTTCCTTACTTCGCACAAATAACCACTTTAGAAATAAAATTAATTTTTGAAGTAGGGTCCCAGCTTTTGTAATGATTATAACTTAGAATCCGAAGAATGTTGAAATCACGTTACAATAACCATAAATGATGTAAAGAGAAATGTATAATCCATGTTCGTCTTCAAGTCGATAAATACACCACAGTTAATTAAATCCATTAATTAAAACGAATTCACACCTTTCCTCCGACTTGCGTTTATCCTTCGGCGATTGCCCGCACCAATGTGATATTAAACGAGGATAGTGTTATATGGGACGAATACATAGCACTACACCACACACGTGTCTCGAGGATTTACTAACTAGCAAGTCGACTGGATAACTGATGGCGAGAAGAGTATTTGTTGAACAGCTGACCAGGTTCGATAGAGTTAAGTGTCGACTATAAAACCACTACTAAAACCTCTGTTTGTTTTGAGAAACTGACCGACGTTAACAAACAGCGCACCGTATTTATGGAAATAAAGCCGGTCATTATGATGTGTACACTACGCGGTTATTTGGCGTGTAAATATAAAAACACCCTCGCTATATCGCACATCATGTCGATATGCCACACACTCACACAAAATGTCGTAAAAAACAAAACGCGTATAGTACATAGACTTAAATAATTACACCATCTTCTTCCTCCTTTTACATCATTTTCATTTAAACATACATTATACAAGAGCTAAATCTGCCTATTGCTGGTCTTTCTTTAGGCCTGAAATGTTATATAAACTATTAATTAGACATTTATTAACATAAAAAGACCTTAATCTTAAAAAATACATTATACAAGAGGTAAATCTGCCTATTGCAGTTCTTCCTTTAGGCCTAAAATGTTATCTAAATTATTAATTAGACATTAATTAACGTATCGAAACCATAATCAACTCTCGATGCCATCGCTAGCCTGCGATATTTAGCGGAATGGAATACATTTCTTAAAAAATAATTAAACTAAAAGTGGAAAATCCAGACTTTGTTTTTTTTATCGTACCGACTTTAGTAATGATGATCCAGACTAGCCTACAATGCAGAAGCTAAAATCTCGGTTCAGAGTGGAGCAATTTTTCTCAAATTTTCAGCATATTCTCTTTACATCATTTAGTTTTTAACTAATATAGTGAGGACAGCCAGCTCTTTATCTAATCTTCCATAATATATTTTTAACAATTTTCTTATTATGCTCCATATTCTTATTCCGTTCCAAAATATCCTTATTCCGCGGTAAATATCCTTATCCCGTTCCATACATCCTTATCCCGTTGTATATATCCATATTCCGTTCTAAATATCCTTATTATGTTTCATATTATCCGTAATATAATTTTATACGAGTTTATTTTATTGTTGTTCCTGATTCTCTTTTTTTAATTTAGTTCTAACTAGTTCTTCTGACATCTTGATATTCTGACCTCCCTCTGATAATATTACTGATTTTTTTTTATACAGAGAGCTGAATTTGCTAGCTTATTTCTAAGGGAATTATATTATGTCAAGCTCCGAAGCTGTTCTATAACCTGCTGGCTTACTTCGACGTCTAGAAGATTTAAATTGTTATAAAGGCTTAAAGGTATCTCTGCACAGTTTTCCGACACTTCTACGTCTAAGGGATTTTATTATACCGAGCTCCAAAGCTGTTCTATAACCTGCTGGTATACTTCGACGTCTATAGAAGACTTATACTGTTATAAAGACTTAAAGATATCTCTTTACAGTTTTCCGTCTGAAAAAATAAAATATTCATAAAATTATCAATTTGATATAAGTGTTCGGAATCAGTCGGTTACACAATCAGATTAAAATACAGATCTTTATTTCGTTTCGTTTTTTTATACTTTTGATGGCCTTCAATACATGAAGATCTGACCAGCTGTACTGGGAGGTCGTGTCAGGGGTCGTACGAGCCTCTTTTGACCCTATGACGTCAGACATTTATTAATCAATCAGCGTTGACGTTTCTAGTGGCTTGCCCACAATTCTGTACAGATTACGCCAAGAAGTCGCCGTGAGAGATGGTTTCATTGGCTAATTCGTCACGCTATAAAAACGAAACGAAATAGGATCTGTGTTTTGATCAGACTGTCGATTGCTTACACTAGTTTCAGTAGATTATGATATGTCGGTGACGCTGGTTTATTTTTCTGTGTAAGTGTAAAAATACTGAATATTGCCCGTCATATCAATGTATACGATATGTTTAAACTTGAACTGTTCAATTATACTGAACCTTACCACGTTAGTCAAACACAAAATGGGACTGAACGTTCGAGATACTATAAATTGATCGTCCAGACTTAAATTCAGATAATACAGTTTAAAGTCTATTTAATTCTTTATATTCAGACCTATATTAAAATATTACCTGGAAGTCAACTTTGAGGGAATTTTCATTTTTAAGTAAAATTTAAAAAAAAGGTATCGAAGTATGACCATCACAAACTTTCTTTAAAATGGCGGACCAGTGACACGGTACCTTTAAAATGGCGAACCAGTAGCGGCATTCTTTTAAAATGACAAACCTGTGACGTTATATTTTTTAAATGACGAACCTGTGATGTTATCTCTTTAAAATGACGAACCTGTGACGTTGTCCCTTTAATATGCCGAACCTGTGACGTTGCCCCTTTAAAATGACGAACCTGTGACAATGACGAACCTGTGACGTTGTTCCTTTAAAATGACGAACCTGTTACGTTGTCCCTTTAAAATGAGGAACCTGTGACGTTAAGTTATCCCTTTAAAATGACGAACCTGTGAAGGCGTCCCTTTAAAATAAGGTATTCACGTAGTTGTATGGTCAAACATCGACAGGTCAGCTATGTTTAGTTTGTTTTAATTAACGTCTACGTCTGTTGACTTGCAATCCTCGTATAAATATTATTCTTTCCGCCTTCATTATCATCGGCAGCTTGAATTTTAATTCAACATTGGTTGTTGCTTGCTGTGGATATTGTAATGGCCGCCGGCATGGACTCTCTGCTATCGTATATTGTAATCATTCTAATGTCGTTTATTTTTGTAAAAAGATTCCCGTCGATTTCTCAATTCTTTAGCCGACAACACATATACTACACCGTTTCTCGCCGTTTATTTAACATGGCTGTTATTTTTTTCTCCTTAAAAAAAAAAAGAACTTTTCTTCTTTAAAAACTATTTCTCAAATTCTCGACATTTCAACACTCGGCTCGCGCCAAGTTATAATAGTTAACCAAGTCAAGTACGTACGTGATAGAGCGACGGCTATTTCAACAATTTTAGGTTTTTTAAAGTTTGTCGCAGAAACATAGACTTTAACAAGAAACAAATTAGAAAGTTAAACACTCATTTCTATTTAAATATTGGGGGGGGGGGTGTTGAGTGAACTGAAGTAGTTTCGATTCCCAGGCTGTACGTGACAAGAAGTAGTGTCGCCTGTCCAACAAAGTGGGTTTCCTCCGAGTCTGCCGGTTTCCCCCCACCTCGAAAGAGAGAGAGAAATGGGGTTTAACGTCCATTCTTTCAATAATTCGCCTGCGCGTAGGAGTCATTAGCAGTGGGAGGAAAGCGGGGGACTCGGAGAAAAACCCACGAGGTTGGACAGGCGACCCTACTCCTTGTCGCGTACAAGCGGGGATTCGAAACCACGCCAGTTGACTTAATGACAGGCCTTATGATACAGCACGCACGTGCTAACCATTCGGCCACCCAACCCCCCACATTGGGAGGAAAGCGGAGCTAAAGACCCCTATGTGCAATCGAATTATTGAAATAAAATTGAACCATATGTTAGTCCTGAAATGACCTAGTTTGTGTCGAGTGAACGATAAACTCTCTCTCTCTCTCTCCACACCATTATATACCACTTCCTATTCCTGTGTGTTGCATTCCGTAGTCTGACCAGTAGAACGGATGTTGACGTCATTAAAACAGTCCCGGTTTTTCACCCCATTGTTATTTATCCTAGGATGAAGTGATGACGTAATGGGTCACAGGTCACCATAGATTTTTCCAGATTTTTCTCGTCATTTTGTCCTCCTCAAATTGTTCCCAAATTTTCTCTGGGTTGATCCTTTGTAACTCAGATGTAGCAAAGTCTTTCTCAAAAACATGTTAGAGGTACTAATGTATGGCGATCTTGAGGTAAACAAACCTTTTCATGCTGTTATCCCTCCGCCTCAAAATCACGAATATTCAGCAAAACTCGAGAGAAAATCTAAATTTAAACTTGTTTTTTTTTTATTCTACAGAAATAACAATTGTATTCATTTTTTATGTCTTTCAAAATAAATGTGTGTGTGTGAGAGAGAGAGAGAGAGAGAGTGAGAGAGAGAGAGAGAGAGAGAGAGAGAGAGAGAGATGGGGTTTAAGATCCACTCGACACAACCTAGGTCATTTCGGGACTAACATATGGTTCAATTTTATTTCAAAAATTCGCTTGCGCGTAGGGGTCTTTCGCAGATGGAGGAAATCGGAGGACCCGGAGAAAACCCACGAGGTTAGACAGGCGACCCACTCTTTATTACCGGGGAATCGAAACCGTCTCTGTTGACTCAATGACATATTTTATGATGCAACGCGCATGCGCTAACCATTCGGCCATCCAACCCTCCTAATCAAAATAAACATGGATAGTATTTTTTATGCCCTCAAAACTAGAGTTGTGATTACCCGACATTTACTACCAGTATAAAGTTCATCCTATACGTATCCAATCCGATTAAAATACGTGACTAAGTGGGTTAGACGCTGGCTGGCTAGTCTGGAGGTCGGGTGTTAGCCCTGCATTGGCCGATAAAGTTCATCCCGATTTTCCGGCGTGGTTCTCCCTTGTCAGTGATGCATGACGGAGGGCCTGACAAGGACAGCTGTCTGGTCGTTCGGATGTCACGAAAAACCGAGGTCCCGTGTACACACTGGCGTGGTTCTCCCTTGTCAGTGATGCAGGACGGAGGCAATCTGTTTCACAGAGTATTACGAAAGTCTTCTAATATCTCTATAAAAGATGACTGTCTTCAACACATGACGTTATATCGCGCGGCGTCAATCATTGACTCAGTGGCGCGTGCATTGTTTACATAAGACGTTACTGATTCGAGCAGAATGACGCCTTTTACTCATTTTAATACCCATTTAAAGTAAAATAGGAAATAATTTTTACCTACGAATATTTTAAACGTGTTTATTTATTTTTCTAATACATAAAAAAAATATTTTAGAATTTAATTTGTCGGAGGAAAAAAGTTAATATTTGTAGCTCATTAAGTCGCATCGATGTCATCCTTATCAGTGATTGTCGCGGCCTAGCGAATATTCACTGCGGATGGGACGAGGTCCCGCGTACACATTGGCATGCACTAAAAGATCCCTTGGCAGTTGGAATTCGATATTAGAGTAGATCATATTGCCGCTGCCCGGGCAAAATTTCCCTCATAACACACTGTATGGCGTATGCCCGTCTTCATTAGCCCAGTTCGGAGCAGAACAGTAGGACGTTAAATCCCATTTCAATTTCAGTTAAAGATACATTATGGGAGATTAGATAACGAGTTGGCAGTTCTTACTATGATAGTTAAAAACTAGATAATGTAAAGGCAATTTGCTGAAAATTTCAGTCAAATTGATCCACTATGAACCGAGAAATAAGCGATCGAAAGTTCCGCATAGCCTCGGCCATCATTACTAAAGTCGGTACGACAAAAATCATAGTCTCGATTATCCATTTAATCGTTAAATCGAGAAGGGAAGTTATGCAGCAAATCAGATCATAATCCAACAATTATCGCAGGCTAGCGTTGACATCGAGAGTTGATTATGATCTGGATACGTTAATTAATGTCTAATTAATAGTTTATATATATAACATTTCAGGCCTAAAGAAAGACCTGCAATAGGCAGATTTAGCTCTTGCATAATGTATGTTTAATAAAGAATAAATTTTGTCCTAATATAAACTCGAACATAATAACTGTAGACAGCAATCCATGAGTTTGTATCGTCCCCGCCATCAACCCCCCTGTCGTTATTTTAACTTGTTGTTTAAAGTTAAATGATTTGAACAGATTTAGTTGGGATATACGAGTCGCTATATATAGATACTAGTACATTCAAACAGATGTTATCGCAGCAGGACCCTTATACACTAATGGCTTTCTCTACACATATATTACCAATCAAATTAAATAAATACTAACACCAACAGCATGATTTTAAAGTGACACGCGAGTAAATAAATGAAATGAAATGAAATGGGGTTTAACGTCCTACTGTTGTGTGTGTGTGTGTGAGAGAGAGAGAGAGAGAGAGAGACAGAGAGAGACAGAGAGAGAGCGAGACGGAGAGAGAGGGAGAGAGAGAGATGAAATGGGGTTTAACGCCCTACTGTTGTGCCCCGGCTGGGATAATGAATACGGGCATACTCCATACAGTGTGCTATGAGGAAAGTTTTGCCCGGACAGCGGCACTACGGCTTACTCTTATATCGAATTCCAACTGCCAAGGGATCTTTAACGAGCACGCCAATGTGTACACCGGACCTTGGTTTATCGTCCCATCCGAACGACTAGACAGCTGTCCTTGTCAGGCTCTCCATCCTGCCCCACTGTCTAGGGGAAACCAGGCCGGTAAAATCCGGATGAACTTTCTCGGCCAACACCGGGATCAAACCCACGACCTCCAGGCTAGCGAGCCAGTGTCTTACTCACTTAGCCAGCGTGGCTCCGCGAGTAAATAAACACAATATCTATCTACAAGTAGGGTTTACGTCCTACTTTCCGACATACACTATGTAGTGTGTGCTATGATACATGGTGGGCCTGGACCGCCAACTTTTATTGTCTTTTATGTGTACGCCAACCAGTACACGTGAGAAACTCGGGTTTCAGGTGTACGGCAACCAGTACACGGGGAAAACTCGGAGTTCAATGTGTACGTCAACCAGTACACGGGAGAAACTCGGGTTTTCATGTGTACGCCAACCAGTACACGTGAGAAACTCGGGTTTTCATGTGT